TACTATTACTATTACTACGACGACGACGATGACGACGACGACAACGACGACGACGACTACTTTTGCATACTTTTGCGGCATGCGCACCTTCGTTTCAAAGCCTTCAAAATGAAGGTGTGGAACTGCGCGCGGCCTGCTGCCACCTGGCGTGCCCGCCCTCGCCCCGACTCCCCTATCTGGGTCGTTGCCCGCGGCCGAGCGAGGCCTTGTTGCCCTCGGCGTCCCGGTCGGCACACCGGAGTTCATTGTGGCTGACTTGCACACGGTGCTGGCCCGCCAGGCAAGCCTGTTGGACACCCTCCCTGCCTTGCAAGACTCCCTAGGTCGCCTGGCTCCTGCTATCTTACTGCGCAGCCCCACGGGCGCAGTATGCGATTCGCAATTTGCTGCTACACAGCACACAGGCGTATGCTGCTGGCCATGATGCTGCATGCAGCAGTGCTGCGCTGCCTTTCGGCGCTCCTCTATGCTGACGCTGCCACCGACCTGCCGCCACCAGCCCAAACACGAGCACAGCGTGCTGCGGCATGCGGACTTGGGCTGCGAAGCGCCACCAGACATGCACCTGCTGCGTACTGGGCTTCCTGGGCCGACGCACTGCGCGCCATTAGCTGCCGAGATGCCACCCTTGCCCGCAACATCGTTGGCTCCCTGGCCTCCGACCGCTCGCTGCCTGAAGCCCTTGAGTCCTTACGTGTTGCCCGCAACTCTTTGGCAGCCATCGGTTTCGACCCCCCCATTTGGGAAGAGTTGCTGCAGGCTGAGGCGCCGTCCTAGCCCGAGCACGACCCTTCCCTCGACCTCACCCGTGGGTGGCAGCGTCTTTGTCCGCTTGCTGGCACGGTGCCGTGCGCGGTCTGCGCACCACGCTCGCGCGCTGCTTCCATCTCGGCTTTTACTCTCCGCTGGTCTGCGCTCCTCTCCTTCGCTGCCGCGCGTTCTTTCGCAGCCAGCCTGCTGTCCTTGCCCCTCACCGGCACGGCTAATGTTGACGGGGATGCACCACCTCCCCTCCGATGTCGGTCAGCTCAACCTCCCCGCGCCCGCAGCTGGGATCTGGGATGTTGCAACATTCCACGCATCTGGAGTGCCTGGCGCGGTACCGCGCGCAAGCCACCGGTGTCACCTCAGCCGATGTCCGGATTGCGTTCCTCGGGGATCCTCGGGGGGTGTTCCGGAACACGTATAATAACCGGGTGGTCCGGGAAGCATGATGACCACCTGCGAGCGCTGTGTCGGCGCCGCGGACATGCCAGATCCGGGCTGCGAGAGCTGCCTGCATGGCAACGTATGCTGGTTGTGGCTGCCCAGCGCACCGTCGCCACGTCGCACTGCCGACACTGAACCCCGCGCTCCTGGCGAATTGCGTGCGTTGCTCGAAGTCTTATTGAGTCACACTGGCTGTCGGCCCCGGAGCCCTGTTGCTTGCCGGCAGCGTTCGCTTAAGGCTGTGCGTTGCACTTGCAGTGTTGGCCCTTTGTAGCTTGCAGCCTTATGCGCGAAAACCGTTTCAGTTTTTGTATGGCTACGTTTGTAGCGTCCTATCCAGCATGACGATTACGCCACTTTGAACTTAACTACACGCTGTGCCGCGGTCCCAGCAAGGTCGTAGATCGTTTGTGCTGGCGATTGGGCCATAACCGGACCTTAGAGCCGTACTGGTCACCGGTTCTTCCGATAACTGGTACAGGCATAAAAGTGAGCTGAAGGTGTGTATTCCTCCGCAGACGTGCGCCGGAGGTCATCTTGCACTAGACGTGAACATTCCCCACACGGCACCCGAAAGTAAAGCTGATTTTATAGGGTCGCGAAATGGTGGGCAAGCTCCTTTTCAATATGCCAGTGCACTCGCACCATGCCTTGCTCCGAGGATCGCATGGATTTAGTTAACCGAATGCCTGCCAGCACTGTGGGAAGTGGGAAGACCTTGGAAACCCAGTTGCGCAACGATAATGGTCCTTGTTCATGTCTTCGCCACGGATTAGCACCAGTTGGTAACAACTAGCAAGAACAGGTCTGTTCACGAACAAGCCACGGCTGTGTGCTCAGCGACATTAGCGTTTGTCTGACTGTTTGCTTTCCAATCACCTGATGAAGCCAAACCGGTGCAAACAAAGTCAGTGGCAGATTGTAGTGTCAGCGTCAGATTCCCATTTCAAGGATCCATTATTGTTTGGGTGCTTATCACAGGGGCATGCCGCCCATGATCTGGAAGAAGTTGCCACATACTTGCCACATTCCAAGCCGGCTCTGGTTAGCAAGACTACCATGCTGATCCCGCCCCATGGACAGTCATGGAGATAGATCCGCAAACGATTGGCCGTCCTTCTCGGGAGCCGGAAGGGGTACGTTCGAAAAAGAAGTGCAGAAGCCTCCAAAGATCGGAAGAGCAGCGAAAACTAGAACTATAGCCGCACCTGCTGGTGACAGGGGCGGGTTTGACCCAACAGTTCTGACACCTGACATGGTTGACATCACTCAAACCGCTCCAGGCGGCAGCGATGAGGACGAGGACGAGGGCACTGCAAGCGACCGGATGCTTGTGGGGAACGACGGTGGCTATTCTTACGGTTGCTGTCACGATGGACCAAACACAGGGAGCGCATTCGGCTTAGCCGATCAGTTCCACAACGCGCATTTCCAGCCTGACGTGTGCTCGTTTTTTACTCACTTCGTATTGAAAGTCACCGTGCCGGTTTCGTTTTTGATTGTATGGGCCCCTATTTATTACCGTGTTGCACAAGCGCGGGCGCTCGGGAATATTAGCCGCGCGGACGCTTCAAGAGAGCTAGAGGAGCAGACGAGCAAATGGCGATGGCTGCGGGGTGGGTTGTTCGTGCCACTGTTTGTGAATTTCAGCGTGCTGGCATACGTTTTTGCAGGCAGTGATCGTGAACAAGTGTCCCTGACCGAGGTGTTTTTGCCGCTTGGTTTTCTTGCTGCAATCGACCTGACAGAGGCCGCGGCTTTCAATCTGGCTTCACATGAAGCCGTGGACGTTGATCCTTTGGCAGTTGGCGAACGGCTCGAGGATCCTTTTTCGCATTTGGGGCTCGACGCCGAGCTAACCTACGCGACCCGTGAATCATTCGTCGCTCGGTTTAGAAGGCCGTGTTCTCCCATGCGGTGTAAGTTTGTTTGGCTGGCTTGGCTCCACGATCCGGAAGTGGTTCGCCATGTTCGTAAGGTAGACTTGCTTTTGCAAACTGTACATCAAAGCCAGAAATGCTGCCCATGAGTCGCTCCTGCGGCATCTGTCGCGCATGCGCATGAGGGAGCCTTGGGTCCTCAATGATAGAGCCAGATGTGCGGCGCCGCCGGCTTTTTGGGCCCAATTTACTTCCGCATACCGCGCGAGTTTTGACGACGGTGCTTTGCCTTTGGATGTGATGGCAGAGCAGTTTCTTATTGGCTGGCCGTCAAAAGCGGGCATGCTTGACAAAGTGGCTACAGGAGCCAGGTACCTTCCCCATATTGCCGCTGTTGTTTTGGCTGCCGTTGCAGCACTTGCGCCAGATTTTCTGCGAGATCGCGAGATAAACTTCCGCCTACCTGAGAACGGCTGGTGTCAAGCCGTGTCGGTCGTATTCATAGGTTACACTAAGTTACACCTTCAACTTCCAAATTTTGTTGTTCTATGTTGTGCCATGGCGAATGATGTCGCTGATGACCGATATGGTCGATGCTTACAGGATTTTCGAATCGATGCTGATGGGCCCAAAAGCTGTTGCTGGACGAGGAATTCCTTGCGTCGGGGTGGGCAGCGTGAAGGACATGGCAGCCTGGTATGAGCTCTACAGATTTTTCTTTGCCAGCACGCAGCGCCGAAAGTTTGTGTTGGAGGTTGGTCTGGCAGTCAACGTTTTCATAGTTTTTACCATGTCAGGCATGCTTGTTTGGTACACCATGGACCCCAACTGGAAGCCTGGAGTGTTTTTCTGTGAGACCCTCGTTGTTTTGAGTTCATTCCTTTTGTTCTCGCTGCCTCCTCTTCTCGTCGGCCTTCCGGCCAACATGTTGAGACGACGCACAGTGGATCTACTTTGGGGCCACGCGACGGAGTCGCGCGCATATTTGCTGTGCATACAAGGCATGCCGGAGCGGTCCTCATCACGCGAAGAAGAAGTCCGTGACGCCATCGGTTTGACAGAATCGATTGCGCAGAGGTTGCGCTTGGATGCGGCGCTGGTGTTGAGGGTCGCCGGTGTGGAGCTCACTGTTGCACAATTTACAGCAATCGCATCACTGATGTCCACAGCGGCGGCTTTTGCTTTGAGGTATGTAGATTGGCAGCGGGTTCTGCAAAAGATGACAATCCTTGGTGAGTGATTAATTCATCAAGACAGGTTCTTCCATCCATTTCATTGCAGAAAGGTTGCTCATCGTTTGACGGCGTTTCACTTGCCAAAATCTCTGTTGCCGATGAAGCCCTCCAAAGGAGGGTGCACGTGTTGCACACTTGAAGGCTCAGTGCCCTTTCAACTTGCAGCAGCAGGGGTGGATTTTTGATCCACGTGCCCTGAAGGATGTGGGTTTCCCACCATTATTGCCACTTACCGTGACAGGCCCAGCAGCAGCAGAAATGAGAACAGGTCTGATGGTGGTTGGGACCAACATGTACTGAGCCTCCCTACCATGATATGCTCGTGCACCCTTTTCCACAGGTTGGCTTCCGTAATGAGGCATTGTCATTTGCACCGCCAGGGAAGTCCCCCCCAAATGCAAGCATTAAGTTTCCGGGGACTCCTGTTGTATGCAGCAGCGTGGTAGCAGTAGCAGTAGCAGTAGTCTATCAGCTTCGACCGTCGCGCTGTTTGGGAACGCGGGGGGAGTTTTTGTTGTGCGGCATGAAAACCTCGCATTTTTCAGCCCGCAAGGTGCAGCTACCCTACTGTTGCTTTTAATGCCGACACCTTGGCATTTGGGCTCCAAGATTTTTCCTTTTGCTGTAGAATGGTTAGAAGGTTTCCATTTTGACCGCAGCAGCTGCGCGTGCAGCGCTTGGCTACTACCATGCCAGGCGGGAGTGGCTTGCACATCCTCGCGAAAGATTCATTTTGGTGGCATGCTCTGGTCCATTCGCTTAGCATTCTTTAACGGGCAGGCCCACATCGATTTGCGATATGTGCACAGGCTTCGTTGCAGCACAGCAGTGTCGATACGATTGAGCGTACATGCTGAGCCGTGCTAACACAGGGCACTCGCGGAGATTTTCAACCGTGCCTATCTCTGGGGCTTGGCTTGGCCCCAACCTCAGAAACTTCCATCATGACTTTCAATTGCTCGGCCGCAGCATGGAATCGATATTTTTGTTGGCACCTGTCAGGTCAAAGCCGGGCACACCGCGCCCCAGCTCGAATTAAGCATCGATTTGAGCGATGTGCGCATTCCATGGCCCTCGCTTTGCTTCTTCTCAGGTGAAATTCTTCGCAAACCCCGGGCATGTGAAGACGGGCGCTCGGCCGATGCTGCTGCAGTGATGATACCACTTGCGGGTTAATGTCCCATGAAGAACGGGCCATGCAAAGAGCCCTCTTCCAACAAGATGTGCATCAAAGTGCTGTCATCAAGGTGTGTTGAATTATGCGAGTGCGCTCTTGCACAGCACCATGCGCACCGAGCGGATGCGCTTTCTAATACATGGCAATTCTTCGACATGAGGATGGCAGAAGAGTTTGGCCTGGAAGGGGCATCTGTGTCCATCGAGATCAAGGAGAGCTCCGGAAGTTTGCTGGGACATAAAACCCGATAAACTGCAGGTTCTTATGCTATATACAGGGCACTAGAGCCCCTAATAAGGCCCTATATAAAGTAGGTACCGGGGGGTTAGGGAAAGATGACAGTCCGAGAGAGCCTGGCGCCGGAAGGATTTTTTGGCCACCGAGCGTGGCATGAGGGCCATGGAGAAGGGCCTGGGTCTGAAATTGTCGATCTAGTTGTCATCATATTATACTTTTATATGTTGTGATATTATATTATGTTTTTCCATATTGCAGTATAGTTCAGTATGCTACCAAGCCACCACATGGAAGATTCGATGCGCATTCAGGCGATCTTCTCCTGGTGGCAGCGGCGGGTGAGTTTGCCGATGACATGGAAGAGTGCGCCGTGCATTTAGTTGCCTGATGTCATTTGCTGAGGTGTTGTGCCAAGCCGTCTGCAGAGGTTTGTAATATGTGTTTGCGCGTGCAGGTCGACAGACTGGGTGCAAGTCTTTGAACAAGAAGTTGACAAGCACGAGCCTTCCGTGTGGTTTCGTTACTTTGATTTGCCCCATTCGCACTCGAACCGTCCAAGGTTCAAGCCAGATGTCTTGATTTGGCTTGCCACCCAGAAATCGTGTATGACTTGAACAGCCCGAGTCGGAGCCCCAGGTAGCCCCAGGCGTATGTCCACATCCCATATCCAAGGACACCGTTGCTTGGCGGCCTCGTCACACCGTGACTGGACGAAATTGGCTTGAGATCGTTTAGGGATGTCTCAAGGGATAGAAATTGGGTTAGCCAGGCGGGAGAAGGTCTCGCATGATGCGGAAGCTGTTGCCTTGGCCGAAAAGTACAACTCGATGGTGGTCGGGATGGTTTTGGGGTTTAGCAAAAATGAAAAGGTGAGCCCCTTAGGAGAAGGGTTGAAATTGTTATGCGAAGATTGAAAAATAGGTTTCCATAAGAGCCCCTCACCCTGCGAAGGTACACCGACAAACATCCGGAGCTGCCGCAGATGATGGCATTTTACCAGTTGCAGCTTCAGATCGTTGGGTTTTGCAATCGCCACATCTTGTAAATGTTGCATCATTTGTGCTTCGTTTGCTGCATGTCGTGCGGCTCTGGTCAGGCCTGAGCGAGCTGGAACACTTGCTTTGTAACGATGTCGTGCTGAATGTTGTGCCCAAGGCCACACTGCATCCCAACCAATTACCTCACGCCTGGGTCTCGGATACGTGGAGTTCTCTAGACAAGGGTCCCTTTCCGGTCCTAAAACAGTACCGGCACTCTTCTACACTGGAAACTAAAATGTGACCCGAGTTTAGAGAACTACTGACATCGTCTCGGTTGACTGTGGCTACGCGCTCGCAGGCGACCACTTGTGCATGTGCCTGGGAATCCTCGAGGTTCTGCCATTGCTCATAGATCTAAGAAACATTTCACGCACCTCTTGAATGCACCATCCACAGCTGTGGACGCCTGTGAAGGTTTCCAAATGTAGGAATGATAGGTTTGGAGTTAGGGTTGATAAGATTTAAAGCCAGCTCGGTTTGCCTCACCCTCCAAAGTTCTAGACAGGCCAGAGTGTGAAACTGCAGGCTGTACTGTACCTGGTGCCCATTAAAGTTTTAAAGCATGAGAAGCGTAAGCGCGAACAGCGGGTAAGCCTGGTTTTGCTGTGGTTTGGTTAGTGTCCCCCATCCTTGGGTTGTTCTCTAAGTTAGGTTGATTAGCTGACGGCTTCATGCATCATGATCTTAGGTTTTATTCATGAATTAAACCCAAACCCCGAAACCCCAGCATAGAAGCCTCAATAGTTACCACCAGCATTCCATAGGAGTCCTTCTCATAATCATAGTATATATACTCCACAGCCCTATTCTATTTATCAAGGCCCCTGCAGTATGCCTATAATCTATGGAGGCCATGTGTCCCTGCCTATTCAGTATGTAAGATTCCATACCTTACACCGAAATCCTTAAACCCGAAACTTCGAACTCTATACACTAGAAACTATTGTTTCCTGGCTTTCTCTTCGAGGTCCATCAACATGCAGCGGCTCGAGCTTGAAGCGGGCCAACCCGTACTGCATTCTTGGGACTGAGCCTCAGTTTAGGGGGGTGTAGGGGTTTACAAAAGCCCACTAATCAACAGAGTTGCTTCAACGCGTCATGGTACCGTAATTAGCCTTGCATATACTTCACTAAGATCTCTGTTCTGATCAATCAGGCCCATGTATGGCCCTATAGCCGAGTGAAACTATGGAGTATCGCATAGAATACTCGCAATAGACACTCGACAGTGATGGATAGCATTTGCAAGATGTACCGAGGGTTTAAGTTCGTCCGGTAACAAACTTCGCCCGCTCTGAAGCAGGGGCCTTCTTAGCTTGATTTCGGGAATTTGCCACCCAGTTTGCAGTTTTCAAGCCTCAGACCCAAAGCCCTAAACCAGACAGACGTGGTGGAAACCCTAAACCCTAAACCCTAAACCCTAAACCGTTTAGGGTCCAGAAGCTCCGGGCTTCTAGGAC